GAAAATCAACAAAATAGACAAACCTTTATCCAAACTAAACAAAAGGCAGAGAGAGACTATCTAAATTAACAAAATCAGAAATGAAAAAGGGAACATAACAACAGACATGGAGGAAATCCAGAGAATCATCAGGTCATATTTCAAAAACCTGTACTATACAAAATTGGAAAACTTAAAGGAAATGGATAACTTTCTGGATAAATATCACTTACCAAAATTAAATCAAGACCAGAAAGCAAATTAAATAGATCTATATATAACTGCTAAAGAAATAGAGACAGTCATCAAAAGTCTCCCAACCAATAAAAGCCCAGGACTATATGGTTTCAGCTTGGAATTCTACAAGATTTTCAAAGAAGAACTAATACCAATACTCCTCAAATGGTTCCACACAATAGAAACAGAAAGAACATTGCCAAACTCTTCTTACACAAACTCTCCTTCTACAATTATCCTGACACCCAAACCACATAAAGACATTACTAAGAAAGAGAATTACAGACCAATCTCACTCATGAACATTGATGCAAAATACTAAATAAAAGTCTGGCAAATAGAATCCAAGTACACATCAGAAAAATCCACCATGATCCAGTTGGCTTCATCCCAGGGATGCAAGGATGGTTCAACATATGAAAATCTGTCAACGTAATCCACCATATAAACAAACTGAAAAATAAAAACCACATGATCATCTCATTAAATCCTGAAAAAGCCTTTGAAAAAAATAAAACATCCCTTCATGATAAAGGTCTTGGAGAGAGCAAGGATACAAGGAACATACCTAAACATAATACAGGCAATATACAGCAAGCAAACAGCCAACATCAAACTAAATGGAGAGAAACTCATAGCAATCACACTGAAATCAGGAATAAGACAAGGTTGTCCACTCTCTCCATGTCTATTCAATAGAGTTCTTGAAGGGCAATAAGACAGCAAAAGGAGATCAAGGGGATACAAACCAGAAAAGAAGTCAAACTCTATTTGCTGATGATATGATAGTTTAGTAAGCAACCCCAAAAATTCTACCAAGGAACTTCTACAACTCACAAACACTTTCAGTAATGTAGCATAATACAATATTAATGCAAAAAATCAATAGCCCTCCTTTACACAGGTGATAAATGGGCCGAGAAAGAAATAAGAGAAACATCACCCTTCACAATAGCCACAAATAGCATAAAATATCTCAGAGTAACCAAACAAGTGTAAGACTTGTATGACAGGAACTTTAAATCTATGAAGAAAGAAATTGAAGGAGACACCAGAAAGTGAAACAATCTCCCATGCTTTTCTATAGGTAGAATCAACATAGAAAAAAAAAATGGCAAGCTTAGCAAAAGCAATCTACAGATTCAATGCAATGTCCATCAAACTCCCAGCAAAAGGGGCTGGAGAGATGGCTCAGTGGTTACGAGCATTGACTGTTCTTCCAGAGGACCTGAGTTCAATTCCCAGCAACCACATGGTGGCTCACAACCATCTGTAATGAGATTTGGCACCCTCTTCTGGCCTGCAGGCATACATGGAGGAAGAATGTTGTATACATAATAAATAAATAAAATTAAAAAAAAAAAAACTCCCAGCAAAATACTTCACAGACCTTGAAAGAATGGTACTCAACTTCATATGGAAAAGCAAAAATCCCAGGATAGCCAAATCAATCCTGTACAATAAAAGAACTTCTGGAAGCATCACAATCCTGAATTTCAAACTCTACTACAGAGCTACAGTACTGAAAACAGCCAGGTATTGGCATAAAAACAGACAGGAGGACCAATGGAACAAAATCAAAGACCCCTGATATTAATCCACACACCTGTGAACACCTGATTTTTAACAAAGAAGCAAAAAATATAAAATGGAAAAAAGAAAGCATATTTAACAAATGGTGCTGGCATAACTGGATATCAACATGTAGAAAAATGAAAAGATAGGCCCATGTCTATCACCATGCACAAAACTCAAGTCCAAATGGACCAAAGACTTCAACATAAAGCCAAGACACTGAATCTCATAGAAGAGAAAGTGGGAAGTACACTTGAACACAATGGCACAGGAGACCACTTCCTAAATATAACCCAAATAGCACAAATACTGAGAGAAACAATTAATAAATTGGACCTCCTGAAACTGAAACGCTTCTGTAAAGCAAAGGACACAGTCAACAAGACAAAACGGCAGCCCACATCAGATAGAGGAGTGATCTCCAAAATACACAAAGAACTCAAGAAATTGGTCATCAAAAGAACAAATAATCCAATAAAAAATGGAGAACAGACCTAAACAGAGAACTCTCAACAGAAGAATCTAAAATGGCTGTTAAACACTTATACCACAAAAACATGTGCTCAACTATGTTCATAGAAGCATTGTTTGTCATAGCCAGAATCTCAAAACAACCTAAAAGCCCCTCGACTAAAGAATGGATTAGGAAAATGTGGTACATTTACACAATGAAGCACTACACAGCAGAAAAAATAACATCTTGAAATTTGCAGGAAAATGAATGGATCTAGAAAACATCATGTTGAGTCGGGTAACCGAGACTCAGAAAGACAATTATATGTATTCACTCATAGGTGGTTTTTAAACATAAAGCAAAGAAAACCAGCCTACAAATCACAATCCCAGAGAACCTAGACAACAATGAGGACACTAAGAGAGACATACTTGGATCTAATCTACATGGGAAATATAAAAAGACAGTATCTCCCAAGTAAATTAGGAGCATGGGGACCATGGAGGAGGGTTTAAGGGGAGGGGATAGGAAGGGAAAGGAGCAGAGAAAAATGTATATCTCAATAAAATCTAAATAAATAAATAACAATATTATAGGGAGAAGGAACTGGGATTGGTATGTAAAAGGAGAAAAGATTGTTTTAAAAATAAATTTTAAAAAGAGACAAAAAAGTATAAAAATTCAACATTAGAAAAACCATTAAGGAAATTTTGGTGTCTCTATTGACTTTGAGGACAAATGTACAGCAATGACTGCTGAAACGGATTCATAGTTGCCTGTGCTGTTCTAACCTTTTGCCCGTAAACATGTAATCGAAGGGAACATGGAACAATTGGAATACTTAATTCTTATGCATAATATAATTATACAGACAATCTTATTTCCAAAAAAAAATCATAAAGCTGAAACCCAGACAGAGGAAAAATACTAAGACCACTCAAGAATGGCTCCAACTTCACCCCAGTTGAGGTGAATTTGAAGTTGGTGTCATCAGGGGTTTTCTCTTGGCAGGAAAATTTCACTGACTCCCAAACTCTTACAAACATTTTGGTGGGAGAGAGCTGAACTCTGTTGGAGCAGTATAGTTCAGACCCCTGCTTCACAGGGTCCTTGAGGGTTGCTTTGCCTTCGATTTTGCTTTGACTAGAGCTGTTAAGTTGCAAAGGGCAGAAACTGAGCATCTCATTTTCCCCTAAAGGAACAGATTTGAATTGCAGTAAGATTTGAAGCATCTCATTGAGTAATGTCTCAACACACACACACACACACACACACACACACACACACACACACACACCTTTCAGAACATACTTATTGTAAACAACTGTAGGTTTAAAATCACTGTAAAGAGGCCTATATATTTCTGAGGAGGTTCCACAATGAAACAGACATGGAACACGTCAGGCGGAACCATGCAGCCTGTAAAAGGTTCTGCAAAGACCTTTCAGAGGCCACTGCGAACACCGTTCCTACAGTGCTGACTGGAAGCAATGGTTAAGTGCTCGGTCCTAAACACAACATTTATGTTGTCTCTCTCCATGGCCTGGGGACCACTGCAAAACAGAAAGCCAGAAGAAAGGCTCTGAAATGCTGTCTTCTCTACAGGACAACCAACTGTAGTCATGGGCTCTCAATAAGTACAGGCACCCACAAGGGATCTGCACAAGAATGGGACCAGCAACAGCCAGGCATGGATACCGGATACTGGAGAGGTGCAGGGGCCCCACCCCTCACTGCTGAACTATTTGCTATCGATAGGTGTCGGGAAATGGGCAATCAATTGTCTGCCTAGGTTCCAATGGATTCCAGTCCAATGGTCACAAACAAAACCAAAGTTATGAATTCAGGGAAAGAGGCAAGTAGGGAAGAAAGATGGTTGATAGGGGTGAGAGGAAGATAAGGGATGGTGGAGGGATAGAGTACCCAGAATGGCTTATATGCATGTATCTTCGAAGTTGTCAAAGAACTTACTCAGTAATAAAAAAAGAAAATATTTGTACTTAAAGGTAACTATGTAAGAGGAAGGTGTGTGCATTTGCTTATGGTAGGCTTTCCATTAGGTATAAACTTATTAATGCATTATTTTTACTCCTTAAATACACAAACTTGATAGAACTAAAATGGAAAACCAGGCAAGAATATTTGTGTTTATTAAACTCATCTGTGGATATTTGTAAAACCCCCAAGGAAATTATCAGTATCAGTTTTCTTTATCTGTTCATCCACTCATAGGCTGGAAGTGTTTGGGTCTCAGGAATAATTCAAAACAGCAACATGAAGTTGAGGTCTAAAGAAGTGACTGGTTCTGGGGCTATTAGTGCATCCTTACCAAGGCTAACAATACTGGGATGTCTGCTTGCCTTCAGTTTTGTGTTGGTCCTTTCCTATATTCCAACAATGCATTCCGAGGAAGAGGCTACAAATGGTAGCCACTCTGCAGGCTTCCACTAGTGGTAACAATGAAAATCAGAGGGACATTAAATTACCAATGCCAGAACGTACCCAGAGGAGTAGTATCAGCAGCAATTAAAGGTTACGATCTTCCAAAAACAGTTTGGACATCCAAAAACCTTTGATGTCTATATTTATGAAAACTCTGAAAATTAACCTATACAACTTAACAATACAAACTGTCACTTAGAAATTTGCATAAACAATTAAAGATCAACTCTATGAGAATAGGAAAATAGGAAATGCCATATGAAATGAAAAACAGAGAAATAAAAACTGTCCTGGACTAACGGAGGCTCATTTATTAACAATTTTTGCAGAACCGCACTGTCTGGACAGCTTTCACAGTCCACAGATCTTGTGAACAGGGCTCACTGAGCACTGTGCTTTTGTGGAAAGGCATGGGCTTGGCTTGCTATGGTTCCTTCCCACTCACATACACAACTCCAGTGACATGCCATCAATGGACTCTAGCTCGCCTCGGTAGAGCTGCTTCAGGGCTTCCAGATCCTTCTTAACTAGGTGTTCTTGGGCATGTACTTCAGAGAGGGCAGATTTGAGCTCTTTCATTTCTAATTCCATCTGAGTTAGGACTGTAGTGCCTGGATTCTCTTGAATGCACACTAAGTTTTCTTTCGCTGCTGCTTCTCCCTAAAACAAATGAAAGTGGTGTGTTAATTAAATTCCGAATCCAATGACCTGTTCTGAGTTTAATGCTCTAGCTTTGCATCAGTAACTCAGAGAACAATTTCAGTGCCTGAAAAAGTAGGCTACCATTTTGAATATGTGAAGTCAGAAACAAGTATTATAGGGTTTATATTTATAGGGTTGGAGAGATGGCTCAGGGGTTAAGAGCACTTTTGCTGTTCTGGAGGACCAAGTTTGGTTCCCAGTGCTTGGCAGGCAACTCAACCTCCTGAAACTTTGATTCTAAAGGATACAATGCTCTCTTCTGGTCTCAGAGGGTACCATCACTCACATGCACATATCTAATTCAGTCATACACAAAATACTTTAAAATAAGATAAATTAAAAATAACATAAACAATTTAGATTAATCTTCTTGCTGTGGTTTGGAAGCAGGCCCTGGCACAAGTTAGGTAAGCTCTCTCCCATTCTACACCCTCACCTCCAATTTACATTTGTGTTAGTATTTGTGTAATATGTAATATGTAAATTATAAAGTTTCTGTCAGACAAAAGACAGCATCAATAAGACAAAACAGTGCCTACAGAATGGGAAAAGATCTTCCCAAACCCCACATCTAACAGAGGGCTGATTTCTAAAACATAAAAGAACTCAAGAAACTAGATATCAACAAACCAAATAATCCAATTAAAAATGGGGTACAGATCTAAACAGAGAATTCTCCACAAAAGAATCTCAAATGGCTGAGAAACACTTAAGAAGAGATTCAACATTCTTAGCCATCAAGGAAATGCAAATCAAAGGACTCTGCCAGAATGGCCAACATCAAAACCACAATTAATAAATGAGACCTCCTGAAACTGAAAAGCAAAGAACATAGTCAATAAGACAAAATGACAACCTACAGAATGGGAAAAGATCTTTACTAACCCCACATCAGACAGAGGTCTGATCTCCAAAATACACAAAAAACTTAAGAAATGGGTCACCAAAAGAACACATAATCCAATTAAAAAAAAAAAAGGAGTATAGACTTAAACAGAGAACTCTCAACAGAAGAATCTAAAATGGCTGAAAGACACTTAAGGAAATGCTCAACATCCTTTGTCATCAGAGAAATGCAAATCAACTCTGAGATTCTATCTTATACCTGTAAGAATGGCCAAGATCAAAAACACTGATGACAACTTATGCTGGAGAGGTTATGGGGAAAAGGGAACACTTGCATTGCTGGTCTGAATGCAAGCTGGTACAGACTCTTTGGATGTCAGTGTAGTGATTTCTCAGAAAATTAGGAAACAACCCTCCTCATGACCCAGCAATACCACTTTTGGGTATGTATCCAAAGGATGTTCAATCATGCCACAAGGACACGTGCTCAACTATGTTCATAGCAGCTTTGTTTGTCATAATCGGAACCTGGAAACAACCTAAATGCCCCTCAACCAAAGAATGGATAAGGAAAATGTGGTACATTTATACAATGGAGTACTGCATAGCAGAAAAAAAATAATGACATCTTGAATTTTGCAGGAAAATGGAGCAAGAAAACATTATTTTGAATGAGGTAACCCAGACACAGAAAGACAACTATCACATGTAATCACTCATATGTGGTTTTAAAACATAAAGCAAAGAAAACCAGCCTACAAACCACAATCTCAGAGAACTTAGACAACAATGAGGACACTAAGAGAGACTTACACAGATCTAATCTACATGGGAAATAGAAAGTAGAAAAAGGCAAGATCTCCTGAATAAATTGGGAACATCGGAACCTTGGGGGAGGGTTGAAGTGGGGAGGGGAGAGATAGAGAGGGGATCAGAGAAAAATGTAGAGCTCAATAAAAATCAATTGAAAATGTACTAATCAAAAAAAGAAACTGATGGTGAGCATGAATTGAAAATGGGTGCTAGTAATTCAGTATTAAGGGGCCAATTGATAGTACTTTTAAAGAAGCAAGGCACAATTGATTGACGGGCCAATTGATAGTTCTTTTAGAGAAATAAGGCACTGGTATTAAAAGTAAGACAGCACAAGAGTTCATTAAGACAGTTTTCTTTTGTGTGAGATAGTTTATTGCCTAATATTTTGAGAGAGTTTAATCCCTGGTTTCTACAAGCAGGGAGCTTTAATATTTCTGACTGGAAGCAGGTAAAAGTAAAAGGCAATTAGAAAATTTGGCAAAAACCTTTGAGGAGATTCAGGATGTAGAATCTGTGAGTTCTATTAAGAGTTTTGAGGAGTGGGAAGTTAAAAGTATTAAAGGGGATATAGAAGAGGAAGAAACTTTAGAAAGGGAGATTGTACTGCTAAAAAAACAAATTAGAAAAAGAAGAAAGGCAGCTTTGCAGAGCCTCCCCTTCCAGAGGAGATTGTTGTGGATAGGTGAAATGTAGGAGGACTGCGTGGACTCCGCGGGCTTCCCCCAATGTAACCTTGACGTGTTAACTGGTGCAGGACAGTGTGCAGGCTTAGCAGCACAGATTACTTATGGCCCTGCTCATATGTTTATGCTCAGATAGCTGCTCATATGTTTATGCTCAGATAGCTGCTATTGCCATTAAAGCACGGAAACCTTTACCTAATAAATGAGCAGGGAACAGCTGTCTAAGGTCCTTCAAGGACGCACAGAACCTTATCCTGTTATAGCTGGGAGGTCACATTTAGGGGGATGTGGACACAGCCATGCCTATCATAAAGCAATTGGGCTATGAGAATGCTAACAAATATTGTCAGGAGGCTATATGTCCTATAGAAATAGGAGTTTAAATGACTATATTGGGTAATGCAGGGACGCTGATGGCACTCCTGTGATGGGACAGCTTCTGTCCTAAGGGGGAGTCAAGGTGGAGCTAGATCAAAGACTTGTTTTCAATGTGGCAACCACGACATTTCAAAGGGAATTGCCCTGTGGGTAATCCAGGGGAAATCCAGGTGTTTGCCAAAATATCAAAAGGGGGACCATTGGGCTAATGAGTGTCACTCTAAAACTGACATTCAAGGAAATTCCATTCCCATGTAAGGAAACGGGAGGAGGGGCCTGGTCCCCAAAATACAAGTGTAAAGGGCAATGAGTGGATGGGCTGCTCCCATCAGATTCATTCCTCAAAGAAATGGCTCACTGTCCATGACCTTGTCCAAGGACCCCAAGAAGTGCAGGACTGGACCTTTGTACCTCTGCCCAGGCAGTACTGACCCTATAGATGGGTGCGCAGGCCTTGGGGACTGGAGTATTTGGACCTATTCCAGAGGGTTCAGTAGGTATAGTTTTGGGTAGAAGTAGTTAAGCACTTAAAGGAATTAAAATTTGACCAGGGATTATAGACTGTTATACTGGAGACATTAGAATTATGATTGAAGCTGGGGCAGGAGTCCTTGCCATCCCTCAAGGAGTGAGGATAGCTCAACTAGTGCTTTTGCTCATGTTTCACTCTACTAATCCTTTCCTTAAACAAGAGGGGGACAAGGGGTTTGGCTCCACAGGATTCCCTGGTGCTTTTTGGGCTTCTAGTTTAAAGAACCACCACACACTTACATTAGCTATTAGTGGGAAAAGGTTGAAAGGCCTTGCAGATACAGGGGCTGATAGTTCTGTGATTGCTAAAACAAAACACTGGCCTGCAACCTGGCCTCTACGGCATTACAGGGGATAGGAATGGCCAGTTCTCCAGAGTCCAATACTTAATATTTAGAGTGGAAGAATGAAGAATTCCATAAGGGCATTTTTAAATAATTTGCCCTGGAACACCTTCCTCTCAATTTGTAGGAAAGAGATATTTTGCAAGCTATGGGAGCAGTTCTGACCACTGAACCTGTGCAGCACATGTTAACAGACCAGGGCTTTGTCCCTGGTCAGAAGTTAGGAAAAACATCTGCAGGGAGACCTGCAGATTTCAGCAGACAAAAAAATAATACAATGGTCACCTGAACAACATGCAGAGCTGGGAAATTTTTCTTAGGGGCCATTACAGAACAGCCAGAAAGCATTCCCATAAAATGGAAAACTGAAAAACCTGTATGGATAGAGCAATGGCCCCTAAGTAAGGAAATATTACAGGCTGCTCATACCCTGGTCCAACAACAGCTAGATACAGGACACATAATGTCATCCACTTCTCCCTGGAATACTCTTGTCTTTGTTATTAAGAAAAAGTCTGGTAAATGGAGGCTGCTCCAAGATCTTAGAGCAGTGAATGATTGTATGGAAATAATGGCAGCAACTCAACCTGGATTGCCTAAGCCTGTGGGTATTCCTGCAGGATACCATCTTTTAGTTATTGACCTGAAAGATTGTTTTTTCACCATTCCATTGCATCCAAAAGATTCTGATAAATTTGCTTTCAGTATACTGTCTATAAATTTCAAAGAACAATATAGATGCTACCAATAGGTAACATTACCCCAAGGAATGGCTAATAGTCTTGTCATCTGCCAAATGTTTGTGGCCCAGGTTATTGCCCCAATAAAGTATAAGTATATCTCAAGAGCAGGCCACTGATACTGTTTTGAAAAAAAAAAATGCTCTCTGTGCACAGAACTTTTAGCTGTTCCTCATTTGGGAATTAATCCTCATGGGCTTACCCCTAATTACATATGGCAAATGGATGTTACCCATGTCCCTTCTTTTGGGCATATGCAATATGTTCTCATAACCGTGGATACATATTCTCATCTTATTTTTTCCTTAGCCCATATAGGAGAAATATTACAAGATGTTAAAAGTCACTGTCTCTAGGCTTTTACCTACATGGGAGTTCCAAAAACTATAAAAACTGACAATGGATCAGCCTACACCAGAATTGGCTTTGCTAAATTTTGTTCTGAGTTGTCTATTTCTCATAAAACAGGAATACCTTATAATCCTCAAGGACAAGCTATAATGGAACGTGTGCATGGTACGCTCAAAGCTTATTTGCATAAAACATAAAAGGGGGAATCTGGTCCCACCTCTGAGACTATTTATCTTTTATTTTATACATCTTAAATTTTTTGACTACTG